TTCCAAGCCGGAGTCTACACTAGTGATAAAGTCTGATTTTGAAAAAATGCATTTATCTACTCTATCGCATTACGGGCTTTGTCAATTTTATAGGTCTCACGTCTGAACGTTGCGTTCTGCATGAATGAAAGATTTTGTTATTCCGGCAAAATATTCTATGTACTCTCCATTAATTACCAAACACTCGTAATTAACTTTTTTTTATTAAATCCATTTACTTGACTGAGTCAATTTAAACTGAACAAACGGCAGGTTCGGCGAGCGATTAGAGAAGAGAAGAGAGAGAGAGAGAGAGAGAGTGAGTCTGTACTTCGAGCTATGCGGCTGCTTAGCCCTGGCATCTTGTTGTCGTATTTCGATGCGATTTTACTCGACTCGCGATTGAATCTTGGATTATGATCCCCGACGATAGAAATGGCGCGTTAGGTAGGTGGGTACCCGAGGTAGGTAGGCATTATGGTGGTCGTTGGGAGGCGTCGCCGAACCGAACGCTGAATCACCCAGCGAGAGTTTTCCTGTCAGCGGCAGGACGGGCACCGCTATCCGACGAAGCCCCGTGGAATTGCCTCGCACGGTCTCGAAATGAATGCGCGAACGCCCATTAGGGGAATAAATCAGGCCAATGTTATCCGCAGGATCGCATAATCGATCTCGCGCGCTCGACTAATCCGGGCCTAATCGTTTCACGGCGCTGCCGCGGCCAGAAAAGTTCCTCCTGGAAGGAGGGAGAGTCGTTAGAGGCTGGATAGGAGAAGTTCTTTGCAACTGCAATAAAGATATGTCTGACTCTTCGATGCGTCTTGTATTAGCTCGGTGGAACAGTGTCTCAAGTGGAATCGCGATTAATAAACCGCGTACTTTGTTTTCATTGAATCTCACGTGACCGCGATAAAAATATGGAATTATGTTTTTTTTTTTTTGATGATTTCAGATCTAGATATGCTTTGTTTGTCTAAAATATAAATCACGAGGCATTAAGCATGGTACGAATGGTCGTCACGCTTGCATCGTCAGTTGATCGCCACGTTAAATACATATCTCGCTTTAATCAGGATCGACCCTACTTGGCTGGACCTCTCGGCGCTACGGAGGAAACGCGAGGAGGGGATGAATTGTAGGATGCGCCGAGTCGCGAAAATGTTTGGTTAGCATTTGGCTTATTGGCCGGCGAATGTTCGTGCGCTGTTAGGCATGTATGGATGGCCCCCAGGTTATAATAAAGCTAATTCCGCGGAGCTCTCGAGGCAGCTCGTGCCGCAACATGTTTTGCCTCTCGTTCTACCACGCCCGCCGTCCTCCGCTCTACCCTTCGTCGTCTCACCGATATATCCGCCCCCGGTGGGTACACCACCCCGTCTCCCATAGTCTCCCCTCTCACTCTTTCGCGATGTGAGA